AGTTTGAATGAATAAATAAGGGTTCTGAACAAGAAGGGGATTTACAAAAAAAAGAAAAAAAATTCTGATGTTTGACTAGAATCTAGAAAGTGAGTCAGGACAAAAAAAATTTTCAATGAGAGTTTGAAATTTGGGTTATTTTGCATGATTAATAAAAAAAAATTCTGAGCTTTGCTTCACACTTAAAACAGGCATCATTTTTAACTAATCTAAACCTTGCCAAGTTTAGCAATTTCAATCTGATAAAAATAATCTTTTATTTTAAATAAATAAAAACTATTGTACAAAACTAATAATTTATTTCATGTGGCTTATTAGTGCCAATTATAATAATTTATTCAATGTGGCTTATTATTAGTGCTAATTATAATAATTTATTCAATGTGGCTTACTTGTGTTAACTACAGCTTCAACAGTTGCTTTAAACTCCACACAACTTTTAGCTACAAAGTCACTGGACATTAGCCGATTCTCTAACAAATGTTTCTATTTTTTTTTTCTTTTAAGTCAGGTAATTTCAGCTGAACCTTGCCAAGCTTAGCAAATTCTCAAATTTGATCTGAAGATATAATCGTAATGAAAGAAATTTTAGGTTCTGCTTATAGTTTGGTAGTTAGTCTTCTGTAAAAACCATTTCTAATTCTTCATTTTTATGCTTTGTAAGATTAAATTCAAATCTCAAACTACAAAGAGTAGGGATTTATTGCAAAAACAGAATTCAAATCCACCCATCAATCTCAGCTCTCCTTCCTGCTTAAAATATGCATAATTCTGGGACTAATCTGAACTTTGTCATACTTATAAGCTTCATGCTAAAGATCAGTGTGACAGCTCTCTTTAGTGTAGCAATAAAGCTAACATTAACTGTTGACAACTGAAAATCTTTCTTCATTTTATAATATGGAGGTCTGATCAAAAAGTATCAGGGCCAGTACTTGAAAAAGAAAACTACAACACATATCAATCCAGCATTCAATCTCCTTGAAAGTAGCCCCTTTCTGAAGTCACACACTTTATCCAGCATCATTTCCATTAATGGAAGCATTCTTGGAACTCTTTTTCTTTGGATAATGAGCAGCTGCCTCATCACATTCTCTTAGATTTCCTTGAAATCTTGTTTCTTTCAAGTGGAATTTGACTTTTTGAAAGAGGAAAAAATTTGCAAGGGGTAAGATTGGTTGTTTGAACCTGGGAAATGTTATTCTTGGCCAAAAACTGCTGCACAAGCCATGTTCACTGATGGAACCTCTGTAGTATGGTAAGATGAACACACTCTACACACTTTCCTTCCAAGCATTGCTATAAATGAAAGTGAGCAAGAATGTTACAAGTTAGCATGTAGGCACAACAGAGTTCATGGTCAATCTGTGCCAAACAGCTTTATTTTGCATACTTTAGCTCAGTTACCATAGCAACAGTTCTGATACTTTTTGATTAGACCAAGAAATTAGCCAAACAATTCAGGTCCAGTTACAAAGTTTTGATCATGAAATTCTACTTTTCACACCTATTGTTACTAAAGTGACTTGACATCCTGGGTATGACAAAATAAACATCTGGCAGCAAGGCCTCTGATCAGGAGGTTTTTAGGAGTGCAGAGCCATCTCTTAATTGCTGGTGTTCCCAGGTCCAAGGTGCTAGGGTCCCAGCTATGGGCAAATGGTTAACCCTCAAACTGGAGTCAAAACACTATGAAAGTATAAAAACAGATTTTTATTGTAAAAATTACCAGCAATGTATTGACAAAAAAAACATTCCCAGCAATGCATTTGACTCTTGAGAAAAACCCTCTTTACAAAAATATGTTAATGAAACCCGATTTCTTACAGAGCATATATATTCTATTCATACGAATCTATCCTAAAAATCTTGTTGGCATTAAATAACCCATTGACACTGATATGCTGTAAAACAAAATAAATCAAATCAAACTAAAGTGATTTGATTTTAACTGAGATTCCTTTACCCTTTTAATGCTAACTGGATATATTCATTTACATTGTAAAGTGAGAAATTAAAATTATTTTAAGACTAAATTAAACTTTTTGAGAGACTATGATTAAAACAAAAAAGTAGTATTGCCACACCAAGTTTAATTAATTACAGGTACCAGACTATTTATAAGGCTTCCAAAAAAAACTACTAATTATGAGCCCACCAGATTTTAAGGGCATTTCTCACATTGTTTGGACTGTTGTCCTCATCTTTATTGCCATATTCATGTTTCGGCCATTGTACGCTCTGGCCTTCATCAGGTATTTGGAATTTCAAACTGAATGCTCTGTTTCAACCACTGGGGTAGATTGCTCTAATTCCACGTGCCATGCCTCTTTCTGGATGTCTCAGTTATCTCCCTTTAACTCAACTCTCCAAGTTGTTGTTCACCACTGGCCAAGTAGATAAAAGCATCAGTTGGATCCAGTGACTTGACCCAAAGAGTTGTGAGTTCAATACCTAGTTAATGCAGTGGTGAACAAAAACTTGGAGAGTTGAGTTAAAGGGAGATAACTGAGACATCCAGAAAGAGGCATGGCACGTGGAACTAGAGCAATCTACCCCGGTGGACGAAATAGAGGGTTCCGTTTGAAATTTCAATCAACTGAAGAAGGCCAGCACATACAATGTCCAAACACCGTGAATAAAGAAAGAAATTAATGTAAATAATTACAATACTTCATCTCAGAAATGTAGACAGAGACATCACCTTGACAAGAAAGAAACCCCCCCCCCAAAAAAAAACTGAAACAAGGAATCCATATAGTTTAAGGATCTTAATCGTCTGATGATATTAGCTGGGGTGAAACTCAATGATGGTTATAGGTTGGTGTCTGTAGACAGATTACCAATTGTTGTTATTTACAGCTTTGTCTTGGTTTGGTTTACCATTTTGGGTTCCTTTATAATATAGATATTGAGAACAGTTGATTTTTGTTAAGCTGGGGGTTTGTTTCACTTGCTGTTTTTTTTTTTAACAAGCTTTTGTCTAGATAAGGTTTTATTTTTGCATTTTCCCTTCATTTCCTCACTGGTTTATTATATATATATATATATATATATATATATGGACTAAGTCCAATAATTATTTTAAGACATTTTTATGTTTATACATTCTTTTTATAGATACAAATATTTAAGTAAATGCTCTGTTTTATAATAAACAGTATTAATAAAATTTACCATTCGTCTGAATGTCCTGAGAAAATTTTTAGCCTAGAAAATATTAAGTTCTCCGACAGGTATAAGATACCTGTTCCTTTCCTGTCAGAGGATGAATATTTTCTATGAAAATTTTCAAACATTCAGGCTGGTAAATGTTATTAATACTGTTTATTAAAAACAGAGCATTTACTTAAATATTTGCATCTATAAAAGAATGTATAGACATAAAATGTCTTAAAATATATATATATATATATATATATATATACACACACACACACATATATATATATATATATATATATATATAACTGAAATAATAAAAACATATATATATATATATATATATATATATATATATTTTTAAATCTCACATAATGGTTGATTCAGTTTATAAAATATGAAATAAATATATCTATTATATAAATGCATAATATACTCTTCTAATATGTTGATGAATCAATTTTTAATTTTTGTTTTATAAATAAACAAGTTTTCCCCATACATAAATACAATGAAAATAATTGTTGCCAGTCAATCAGGGGTTGGGTGTAATAACCAACAAGTCTATATGGCTAAATTGGTTCTTTTGCCAGCTATAAGGCTCTAGTTGCTCAAACAGGTGGTCAGCTGTCATTCATAGGCAGGCATTCCAAGGTAAAAAGGGACAAGAATTTGAATCTTGCCATTGTTTATTTCAGAACTTCTTTTTAAAGGCTGTAGAATAATGAGTTACAATGAAAAGCAACTAAAATTAAGATAAAAGAAATACTAATTGAAAATACTTAATTTAATAAATTACTAGCACTAATACTACTCGAGTAAATAAAACAAAATGAAAGAACCAAGAAATAATAATGGTTGAAAAATGCTTCTAGTAAAATTCAAAATATTGCTGACTAATACTACTAGTATAAATACTACTACTATTATTTGTATGCGAAGTAAATGATTGCATGAGCAATCTCTTATGTTGTTAAAACTGCACCTGTCTGAGATGAGTGCAGTGAAGTCTTGCAAGAGTTTAGCAATTGTAAAATTCAGAGAGTGAATTTTATCAGGTGAGCCACCATCCTGATTTCAGCATGTGAATAAAGCAAAATTAAGATGAAAGAAATGCAAGCCAAAAATAATGAACAGTTAACAATAACAACTCAAGATAATATTACTATTAATACTATCAATATAAATAATGCTTCATCTAATAAAACATATCAAACTCCAACTTCATTGCTTAAAATCTCCATCTACTCATTTCAGTGTGAAAGTGATAATTTTGTATGTTTATTCAATGTTTTGCACAAAATTTGGTTATTTCCTATGAATGATGCAAATGAGGTGAAGTCTTCTCCTTCCCAAAAATATAGAAAGTAACACTTGTTCTGAATCAGTAAGCACTCAGAAAACAACTGAAATGTAAAGGTGACTATTACTAATCCAGCTATGACTGCAAGTTTTATAAAGCCATATTTCTAAGCTTGTCACATCAACCCACTGCACCAGTTTTGGTTGACACTCATAGCAGCATCAAGTGTCGTTATAAATTTTAAATTATAGGCAAAAGCCTGTTTTTATACATTTAATTGCAAATTCATCAAGTTTCCAACAAAAGAAAAAAAAAATTATAATAGTGTCAAGAGTAAATACTTTAGACTGCTCTTAACTGATAAGGTTTCTGTTTGTACTTCAATCCAATTTTGACAGATTTTTTTTTTCTTTTTCAACTTTTACTGATTTATAGGCTATTTCATGGGTGGGACGGGGTAGTAGATTAAAGAGGGCCTACTTAACCTAACTATCAGCAAAATGGCAGCATTCAATAACCTGACACATTACAGATCTTAATGAGAGTAGGATAAATGAGAGGGTGGAGGAAAAGAGAGAGAAAAGAAAAAGAGAAGGGAAGAGGGAAGAGGGAGAGGAAGAGAAGAAGGAAGAGGAAGGGAGGAGAAGAAGTATGAGAGAGAGGAGGCGGAAAAGAGAGGGGGAAGAGGAAAAGAGACAGAAGAAAAAGAGAAAAAGAAAGAGAAAAAGAAAGAGAAAAAGAAAGAGAAAAAGAAAGAGAAAAAGAAAGAGAAAAAGAAAGAGAAAAAGAAAGAGAAAAAGAAAGAGAAAAAGAAAGAGAAAAAGAAAGAGAAAAAGAAAGAGAAAAAGAGAGGAAGAAAAAGAGAAAAAGAGAGAGGAGAGGAAGAAAAGAGAGAGGAAGGGAGGGAAAGAAATGTGAGAGAGAGGAAAATAAAAGGGAGAAGAAGTATGAGAGAGAGAGAGAGAGAGAGAGAGAGAGAGGGAGGAGAATACCGAGGAGAAAGTGGAAGGGGAGAGGGAAAGAAACTAATATTACTATTATAAAATGAGAGAGATTCCAAAGTTTAGCCTCAAATTCAATGAAGTGAGAATTAGATTCAACACTGCACTTATTGTCACCATTCAAAGTTCCATCAGTCTAATGCCAACCGATATTAAAAATTAATGTCGGTTGCATATTTTCTTGTAAATCCTACATAACGGACTTTCTTAAACAAGTCAATACAATTAAATTTTATTGGCATTTCATTAATAATTTCAGACTACATTTCACCCAATACAAGACCCAAGAGCCACTCAAAGTAGAGGGTTAAAATAGTTATAAGGTGAGATATGAGTGGAATAGAAAATGAAGATTATGAGGAGAGATAACAATTGACCCTTGACTTGAAGGGGTCAAGATTAAAGTGTTCAATGAAGCACCCACACAGGAGTTTGTTTCACAAAGAAGCAGTTCTTGGAGAAAAAAATTCTGATAGGAACTTTTTTTCTTAAATTTTGAATATTTTGCTTATTCTCCATTTAATCGACCTTTTTATTATTTACACTATATTTGGACTATTGTTTCAGCCATTGTCTCCTCAGGTGTATATCGACCAGAGTAACCTACAAGGAATTCTGAACTGAACCATTTACTGCTCTCATTCCACTGCATCTAGTTCTTATTTTGTTTGATACTGTTCAGTTATGGCTCACCTGTTTCCACTGAGTGCAGTTACACACTGCTAGGCTGGGGGATTGAACTCACAACCACTAAGTCACCAAATTCTCAAATCAATGCTTTTATCCACTAGGCCATTGTCTATTTGATGTAGTAAGCATAGAACCTTAAACCTAGCTGCTGATTAGGTTTCAACTGCTTCTGCTGCAGTTGAAGACTTATTGTCATTTGTCATCAACATACACCTGAGGAAGGCTGGAGGACACAATGGAAGAAACAAAGACAAGGACAATAGACCAAATATAGTGTAAATAATAATAACCCCCACCTCATCCCCAAAATTAATCCCAATGTAGCTGGATTAATGAAGAACAACTTGGATTAACAAAATCCACCACACTTTTGCCCATTTATTAACCCATTCACTATGAATCATAATAGACTTAGTTATGAATGACAGAAATACCTGCCAATGTTAATGGGTTAGTAATTTGCTGATTATTACAAAAATTTTTTAAAATTCCAAATTTTCATGTTTTAATTGATTATTGCTATACAGGATTATTTAAATTTAATTTATATTGGAGTATTTTTTCTAGAATTACTTCTATCTTCAAAAACAAAAATGGGAAATTACCTAAAGAAATTTCCCAATGCTTAAAGTACAAATTGGCTTTTGAATTTTGTAACAATAAAAAAATGAGACCATTTGTTTAATAAAAGTCCCTCATAATCTTTTGCCATACTTGAGAATTTTCATATTGTGAATAGTTCGAACTGACAAGTGGACTTTGCTCAACAGGCAAGTGAAAGTTAAGCTTCATAAAATGAAAATTTGGATACCCATTAAAAAAAAGGAAACAAAAACGGATACAAAAAACATTTAGGATTCACGTGTTTGTATATAAAGTTTAATTTTTTTAAAAGTTGAAAGTAAAAAAAAAAAAAAAAAATAAAATGTTTTTTTAAAGAAAATTACACTGAATTAAAAAAAAAAATAATTCTCAAAGCTAGCCAACTAAATTTTAGTTATTAGGAAAACAAAACAAAAAAGAAAAAAAAAAAAAAAGAAAATAAACATTTTTTAATAAAAGTATCAAAAGAATTTTAATGAGCAATTTTAAGAGGACCGACAAACAATTGCACAATGTCAAACAAAAGTTTGTTTGTCGTCTATTTGTTCACTGTATCTTGCGTTATGTTTTTCTCCAGTAATTCTGACATAGACATTTGACACAAGCAAGTATGACTTATGAAACAAATTCTTTTGTTACCCTTCATTGCTTCCACAATGAATATGATTCCAAACACAGAATTATGAACTAAAAGGAACAAGAAGAAGTCAACAGAAACCAAACTGACCACTTTGGTGGTCAAGGAAGCATTTAAAAGCAAACCTGGCAATTGTTCACTTTTGCATTTGTGTTCATTATTCTATGCTTGAGATTGTTGAAGCAATCAAGTGTGGAGTGAAGCAGAAGAAAAAAAATATAATTACAAAAGATTTTCTATTATATTGTTTTGTAATATAACTTGACAGAGAGAAAAAAAACACAAAGTTTGCTAAAGAACAAGTAGTATTAGTTTTCATATGAGATGTAAAAAGGAAGATCTAGAAAAAGAAAGGTAAGATGTCATGTCCTCGTTTTTTTTGCAGGGGAGGGGATGTTTGTTTTTTTTTTTTGTAACTTGGTTGTGAAGGATTTAAATCTATTATGGACAGAAGTTGGTTGCCATTTCAGTTTTCTCTTCCTTTCTTTTCCTTTCTTTCACTTCCTTTCTTTTCCTTCTTTTTTTCTCTTTCTGATAATGATTTTCACCAACTAATGATTGTTCAGGAACAATTTACCATTATATGCTCACCAGAAATCAGTGGTGGCACAATGTAGAGTTTTTTTGCAGAGGGTGGCTTTTAGCCATAAGACAAGTATTTTGAGAGGAGGTGATCAATATCTTCATCTGTTTTTTCATCCTGGAAAAAAAAAAAAAAAAAAAAAAATTAATTTTCTTTTCGACCAAAAGTTTTCAGTCTTGGGTCATCGTCACCATTTTCAAAAGAAATCTAATAATTTTCTTTTTCTGCATTATAGTGAAATAATTTCTGAAACCAAATTCTATTAAATACAGTCAAATGAAAGAAGGAATTCTTATTTCAAGAAATCAAAAAATTAGCCATTTGATTTAATGTTCAAATCTACCCCTGAAGATTTGAAATTCCCTTCTTGGGGGTAAAAGTGACTCCCATTTTTAGAACCACCATTTTAACTACAAATCTCTCTCTCACTCTATATATATATATATATATATATATATATATATATATATATATATATATATATATACTATTATAAAAACCCAGGTTGTGTGTGTGTGTGTGTGTGTGTGTCTGTTTGTTTATATATTGGATTGGGTTTCCTACATTTTTCAACCGATTTCAACAAAACTTCACAGGACTACATAAAATTACCTTGCGGCGGTTCTGACAGCACCAAAAATAGGAAAAATACAATTGTTTTTGCACGAAATCAATTTGAAAACACAATTAAGAGGCATCGCTGTCGCGTGAATGAAAGGGGGACAACTCATATCGAGTTATACTTATTATAAAACCTAGGTTGTTTGTGTGTGTGTGTGTGTGTGTGTGTGTGTTCCTTTATATATGGGATCGGATTTCCTACATTTTTCAACCGATTTCAACAAAACTTCACTTTTTTTTGGCAGGTAGTGTTTCTTATTGTCTTGCACCCTTTTTTCTTTATTTTTACATTCAGAATGCTTTAAAAATTCCATTTACAAGACAATTGTTTATAATAAAATTCTATTCAATCGGTAGACTCATAACGATTG